TCACCATCATCCCTCTCAAATCTGTTCCTCCTCTCATGTTCACTACACTAATTCATTACCTCTTCATCCACTAGCACATATTGGAAGAATGCAGTTCCATGAGGGTTTTTTTGTGTTTTTTTAAGATTTATTTATTTGAGAGAGAGAGAAAGAGAGCTCACACATGCAAGCAGAATGGGGAGCAGAGGGAGAGGGAGAGAGAATCTTAAACAGGCTCCACGCCCAGTGCGGAGCCTGAGGTTGGGCTCAATCTCACAACCCTGAGATCATGACCTGAGCAGAAATCAAGAGCTGGATGCTCAGGTGCCCCTTTTTTTCTTAAGGCTGAATAATATTCCATTGTATATTTACAATGTATATTCCATGTGCATATATATATCACATTTTCTTTATCCATTCATCCACTGATGGACACTTACATTGTTTACATATCTCAGCTATTCCCTAATAATGCTGCAGTGAGCATGGGAGTGTAGATATAGCTCTTCAAAATAGTGATTTCATTTCCTGTGGAAATATACTTTGAAATGAGATTGTTGGATCACAAAGTAGTTCTATTTTTAATTTTCTAAAGCACGTCCATGCTGTTTTCCATAATGACTGTACCCAATTTGCATTCCCAACAACTGTGCACGAAGGTTCCCTTTTCTTCACATCCTCACCAGTACTTATCTTTTGATGTTTTGATAACAGCTGTGCTACTAGGTATGAGGTGACATCTCGTTTTTGTCTCATCTGCATTTCCCTAATGATTAGTGACATTGAGCATCTTTCATATACCTATTAGCCATTTGTATATCGTCTTTGGAAAAATGTCTATTCAGGTCATTTGCCCATTTTATAATCCAGTTGTCTGTTTTTTGTTTGTTTTTGTAATTTTATGAATTCTTTACGTATTTTTGCATATTAACCTTTATTGGGTATATAATTTACAAATGTTTTCTCCCACTCTTTTGATTTTATTGATTGTTTCCTTTATTGGGCAGATTTTTTTTTTTTTTTAGATTTTTTTTTTTTTTAAGATTTTACTTATTTAAGAGAAAGAAAGGAAGAGAGTTCAAGCAGGGGGAGGCACGGAGGGAGAGAGAAACAGATGTTCTGCTGAGCAGGGAGCTGGATGCAATGTGATGTGGAGTTCCCAGGACCCTGGGATCATGACCTGAGCCGAAAGCAGACGCATAACTGACTGAGTCATTCAGGTGCTCCGAGCAGAATCTTTTTAGTTTGATGCAGTCCTACTTGCTTATTTTTGCTTTTGTTGCCTGTGCTTTTGGTGTCATCTCCAAAAAAATCACTGCCAAGACTAATGTCAGAGAGCTAACCCCCCCTTTTTTTCTAGGAGTTATACAGTTTTGGGTTGAATGTTTAAGTAAAGTCGATTTTTAGTTGATTTTTGTATGGTATAAGATAAGGGTCCAGTTGCATTCTTTTGCATATGCTATTCGGTTTTCCCAATACTGTTTGTTAAGGAGAGACACTTTTCCCATTGTATATTCTTGGCTCCTTTGTCATAAATTAATTAACTATATATGTATGGGCTTATTTCCAAGCTCTCTCTTTTGTTCCATCAATCTATATATCTATTTTTATGCTAATGCCATGTTGTTGTGATTGCTATAGCTTTATAATATAGTTTGAAACCAGGACGATACATTTTTTTATAGTCACCTGGTTGGCAAAGTTAAAAACGTAGATGATATCAAGGATTAAAAGCAATTGGACTTGTTACCTACTGCTGATGGGCATACAGATTGTTACAAATACTTTGGAAAGCAATTTGGTATTATCCAGTAAAGTTGAAGATGTTCATACCTTATAAGCCGACAAGCTCAATTCTAGGTATATTTTTTAGATTGAGGATCAGCAAACTACAGTTTCATCCCCCACACCTCCCACCTACACACACTTAGAGACTTGAACGCTAGCTTAGTTCCTAACAGCTCAAGGTCACATGCCCTAGAATGACCCCAGGACCTCTTAGAGGGGTCAAGGCCGCTGGGAGAATTTTGTTTGTTCCAGTCCCAACTCTGGTGGTAGGGAGATAGATCCCAAGCCCTCTCTTACAGCAGTTACTTTAGAAAGTTTGCAATTATAAATAGTTTCTCTGCCTTTAAGATGTAAATCTACCATCCTAAACCATTTCTCTGAAGATGGAAGAGAGATCTTTTTGAAATGCAGACATTCAGGGAGAGAATCATGGCTTTCAATCCCAGTTCCTGAGTGGGAAGATAAAGGCCTAACTTTGGTGGGGGCCTTGCTTTAACTTGCACCACCAGTTCTGGTCATAAAGATAGAAGTTTGTTTCTTCCCTGGTTAGGCTCCAGTTAGCAAGCCCAGATGGCTTAGTCACATGGATCACCCCCACCCTCAGCGCTCCCCAGTGCCTTCCCATAAGCACATCCCTGCCTTTCAAAAGTCTCCAGCCTTCTGTTTCCACGAAGTTGATTTCAGGTCATACTGGACCCCCTTCCTTATGGCGGATAAATCCCGCCTTTATCGTCTTTTTACTCTTATCTTTCATGTCGGTAAAATTTAGTAGAAATAAAAATGACTTCTAAGGGTGGGTTTTGAAAGAAAGTAGGTAGGCTTCTGAGTGTCATGTCGGGAACAATGCATCAGAGAAGAGATAGAGCACATTCCATAGGGAGAAGATCCATAAGTCTGTGAGTAGAATTATTCCAGTAGCAGGAGTTTAAAGGCAGAAGTGACTATGAGATTATAATCCTAAGAATTCCCAGAAATCTTGGAGAGGGCTTTGGAACTCCACTGCAGGTGGAAAGGGGGTTCCTGGGACAAAGACCCACCCATGAGCATGTGGGTTACATATATTAATAACTACTACTAGTGCTACCACCATTTACTGAGTACCTATTGTACACCAGACCTGTGCTAGATGTTATCCATCTTTCTGTCTTCAGTCTTGACTCCCCCATTTGCCCCACAATCCAAAGTAAATGTTCTTTTTTTTTTCAATTTAATTCAATTTTTTAAAAACATTTTTTTATTTGACAGAGTTAGGAGCACGTGGAGTGGGAGAGGGAGAAGCAGGCTCCCCGCTGAGCAGGGAGTCTGATGTGGGGTTTGATCCCACCACCCTAGGATCATGACCTGAGCTGAAGGCAACCACTGAACAACTGAGCCACACAGGCAGTCTTCTTTTTCTTCTTCTTTTGTTTTTAAGATTTATTTATTTATTTATTTGAGAGAGAGAGAGAGGGAGAGACAGGCAGAGACAGCATAAGCAGGGGAAGAGGCAGAGGGAGAGGCAGAAGCAGACTCCTCGCTGAGCTGGGAACCAGGTGTAGGGCTCCATCCCAGGACCTAGGGACCACAACTTGAGCCTAAGCAGACACTTAACCATGTGAGCCACCCAGGCACCCCAACAAAGTAAATGTTCTAATAATTAAGTTACATTATTTACTCCTCACTTAAGACCATTTTGGGTTACAGTTAAAGTTTAGACTCCTTGGCATAATGAACAAACTGTGTGATTTCCTGTCTCAACTTCATCCCTGGCTGCTCTCTATAATCATTCTAGTCATACTAAACTCTTCACACAACTTTTAAGAAAACTCAAGTGTCTCTCTTTGTGCACCCCCTTCCTCAATAAATCGCATCTTTCCTTCCCATTTTTCTGCTGTATTTTGTCCACATTTCAACTATACAACTCCTCATCCTACACCACATCTATTTCTTTATATATCTTTACCTCTGACTGGACTTAGAAGCCCCTGTGTTAGAGCTATGTTTTATTCATCTTAAAATTCACTTTGTCTTTTTGCTCATTTAGTCAACAAATATTTATTTAGTATCTACTTGGTACTAGGTTCTGGGGAGTCAATAATACTTGAGTCCTTCAGTGTTTCCAGTCTAATAGAGCCTGAGAACCCATGCTCTACATTAACCAGGTACTTAATATATACTGACTAATGAATAAATGAACTTAGATTCTGAGTCTTGAGCAGCCACAAGCTCTTCAAAGAATGATTCTGGACAAGCGCATTTACAGACACTGGTAGAATTATCATCTTCCTTCCTGGCCATAGCATCATTTAATGACAAGGGTTTGCCAGCTTTGTCTGTAGGGGGCCAAACAGTCAATATTTCCAGCAGTGTGGGCTATATGGTCTTTGTTGCAACTGCTCAACTCAGACCACCCAACCCTGTGGTTGTGGGGTTAAAGCAGCCATAGTCAACGTTTAACCGAATTAGGGTGGCTGTGTGCCAATAAAACATCATGGACAGATGATGAAATTTGATCTTCTCAATCTCACGAGTCACAAAACAGCATTCTTCTTTTGATTTTTTTCAACCATCTAAAAATGTAAAATCATCTTAGTTTGTGGGCAGTACAAAAGCAGGCGGCAGAGTGACTTTGGCCCCCAGGCTGTAGTTTGCTGGAAGACGTTTTAGAAAATCCCTAATGAAAAACAAAGATAGATATATATAGATATATATAAAATATATATATATGTATATACATTATATTTTAATATATTGTAATACATTATGTCATATACATATATATATTATACATTACACTATAATTATTATACACTATAATATATTATTTATATAACTAGTATATTATATACATATACATATATATACACATATATGATATATAGTAAATATTTCTTTATTTCTAATAAATACATACAAACACACACACACCCTCCATTCTTGTGGATAACCGTCTTTGCTGGAGGTCGAATGGAAAAGGAAACCCACACAAAGCATTAGTTAATTAATATATTATGTCACAGCAGCAGCAACACTATGAACCAGAAGTCTATTTATCGAGGGAATAAGATACACAGTTAGGTTGTACTGCCAAAACAACGCGGTCCCAAGCGGAAAGAAATCAGCAGGTGGCAGGGCTCCGAAGACAAGGCACCCCCCTCACTGCTCAGACCCGAGCATCCCTAACCGGCAACGCCACCCTGGGCCGGGCTTCCCGGGCGGGCTGCGGGACGGCGCAGACGCACTCGTTCCGTCTTCCCACCAATCTCGACCCTCGACGCGTTCCGTTCGTGCGTGGAGGAGCCCGGCGGGAGGAGAGGCCGCTCCGTGGGCAGGGGCTGCGGCGCGCCCAGCGGCTGGACCCGGCGACGGCGCGGATGGCGGACTCGCAGCTGTTCTGCGTGGCGGAGGAGCGCAGCGGCCACTGCGCCGTGGTGGACGGAAACTTCCTCTACGTGTGGGGGGGCTACGTGGTAAGGGGAAGAGGCGGGACGGGGCGGACTCGCGCCGGGAGCCCGTCCGGCCTCTGGGCCCGAGCGGACGCCGAGCGCCCGCCCACACCCGGCCCCGAAGCGGGGGCCGGTCCGCGGCCAGGGTCCGGCGCGCCCGGCGCCCCCCGCGCCCCGCCCGTCCCTCCGCCGTCTGCTGCTCTCCCCGCCGCGCCAGGGCTTGACGCCGCCCCGCCGTTGCTTCCACTTTGAAAGCCTTCAAACCCGCGTTCCGGGGCTCTTCCCACTCTCCGGTCCCCCTCCCCCCGACTTCCCGCAGCTGTCCAGTAACCCCCGGTCTGGCCAACGCTAAGTCCGTCTTTGCGCCATTAATTATCTCTAAATGCTTGCGCAGACTTACAGGCACGACGAGGACGCCGTGCTGTTTATTATTTTGTAAATATTTCCCTATTGCTCCAGCGCGATTCGGAATATTGAAATCACTGAAGCATTTGATATTTCTAAGCGATTTTTAGTGGCATTCCTTTATCATTGGGTAATTACGAAGTTTTTTCGAGCCTCAAAATAGAGGCATATTAGCAACAATATACTAAAAATTGCTTAAATGCTTATTACAGGAGAGGTTTGAATGTGTGTATTTGTTTTGTTTTATAATCATAGGATTATAGAACCAAGGATTCTAAAGCCAGAAAACAGTTCAGGAATATATGCCAACCACTTCGGTTTACAGGTTTTGTTTTTTTTTTTTTTTTTAAAAAGGCAAGCCATCTGGAAGTTCTCTTGGAAGTAGAATCTACATTTTCTGACTGTCTCGATACTATTATGTGACAGATGTAACATGACTGAATCACTCACTGAAATAAAGTACATACTATCTCTGTTAAATGATTCTCAGATCCAAGTCGGTTTTTGTTGTTGTTTTGTTTGTGTGTTTATTTTTAATTTGGTGCAGTATCAGGAGGGGAAAATTAGAACTAACCTTTGAGTGCCTACTATACCTGGCATGTGCTAAGAACTTACATATCCCTAATCTTATATAATCTTTTCCATACCCTGTAAGGTAAGTAATAGCCCCATTAAAAATAAGCATGATGAGTCAAAGAGAATGAGTCAATGAGAATGAATAATGGCCATTTGACCTCAAGGGCACGAGATTCCAAGGTAGGTATACTGGATTTCCAAAGGCTATTTTTTCCATGATAAACTAACATAAATTAGATGACTCTGCTTCTCAATGTCTAATATTTCCACCATTTGTTCTTCATAGAAAAAGAGCCTAGATATAATGATGGTTTTATGCAGAAGAAATATTTTGATTGTTTTTGAGCTCTGCCACTTGAAGGTGTAGGTGTCAAATTTCCTCTGTTATATTGATTCTTAATATTGTAAAAGTAAAGTGAAAAAAATCTCATTTAAAATAGTAATCCACTATCTCAGATCTGGTGACAGTGTATATTTCTTTTGGGTCTACAAATGAAATGTCTGAATATTTTAATCCCCTTTTAATCTTGAAAATCATGTAGTTGATAAGATTCCAGGTGTTCAGGTTGTAGTCAGTGAATAGACTATTTATTGATCCAATGAGTAGAGTGCTGTTAGAACTGCTCTGAAAAGTGCCTTACAGCTTTAACTAGAGTCTGCTACAGGCATACCTTGGATGTTGGGGATTTGATTCCAGACCACCACTATAAAGGAGGTAAAATGATTTTTTTGGTTTCCTAGTGCATATAAAAGTTATGTTTACATTATACTGTAGTCTATTAAATGTGCAAAGGCAAGATGTCTAAAAAATATGCATACCCTAATTTAAAAATACCTTATTGCTAAAAAATGCTAACCATCATTGAGCTTTGAGCAGGTCTTAATCTTTCTGCCCGTGGAGGGTCTTGCTTTGATGTTAATGGTTGCTGACTGATCAGAGTGGTGGTTGCTGAAGGTTGAGTGGCTGTGGCAATTTCTTAGAGTAAGACAGTGATGAAGTTTGCATTATCAATTGACTCTTGCTTTCATTAATGATTTCTTTGTAGCATGTGATGCTCTTTGATGGCATTTTACCAACAGTAGAACTTCTTTCAAAACTGGAGTCAGTACTCAAAACGTCCTGCTGCCTGATTAAGAATAGAAAATGTAATATTCTAAATCCTTTGTTGTCATTTCCACCGTCTTCACAGTCTCTTCACCAGGAGTAGAGTCCATCTCAAGAAGCCACTTTCTTTGTTCATGCATAAGAAGCAACTCCTTATCAGCTCAAATTTTATCCTGAGATAACAGCAACTCAGTTACCTCTTTAGGCTTCACTTCTAATTCTAGTTCTCTTGCTATTTCTATCACATCTGCAGTTCCTTCCTCCACTGAAGTCTTGAACCTTCAGTTTAAAGAAAAAAAAAAAACCACAATATCTGTGAAATGCAGTAAAGCTAGTGCAATAAAACAAGGTATGCCTGTACTTTTTAAATTCCAGGGATTATCAGCAGCTAAAATATGTCTAAGACATGAGTGGAAGGAAAAAATGGGAGGCAAGAAAGAGACACCGAATATCATGAGAAAAAGTAGAATCCTTCTGTTTTATTCAGATCCTTTTGAACAGAAAATAGCTAAAAGGCCGTGGAATCTGGAGGTAATCCAGTAGTCAGTAATGAATAATGATCAAATAATTCCAGATTGTATGTTATAATTGCAGTTTTCGTCCTTACTAACAAAAAACAATGTGTGTTAAAATTCATAAATATATATCCTGAAGCTTGAATGGCCTACAGATAATTGTCTAGATTACTCATTACTCTGTTATCAGACATATTCTGTAGGATAGTATATCAGAAAACAGTTCTACCTCTCTTTAGAGGTAAGAGTGGAAGTGCTGGAAAAAGTAAGTGGCATATTTGAATTGGTGCCAGAATATTCTTTTGCACCTACTTCTTCCATATCCTTTCAGTATCATGCAAACTTTAGTACTGCTGTAAGGAACATTGAGAATTTCTGAGTAGTTTTCCCAAATTTTGGAGGAAAAGCATAGGGGTTTAGCATGTTTGTAGGTGGTATGCTTTCTTTCCTCTTAGGTTTTATTTCCATAACACGATTGCTTTTAATAATTTTTGCCCTGAAATTTTCCTTATAGAAAATATCTGCATAAATATGCTTAACTACATATTTCTGTTTTGGATGTGGACTTAAAGGGAAGATCAATTTAGAACGTGTCTGAAAAGAATCAAGATGAGAGGCTTACAGTGCCAGATATTAAAACATATCACAATACTGTAATAGTTACAGCAGTGCTCCTGATGCAAGATGAGTTAACATGATGGAATGGAAAAGAAGTTACATAAACAGCCTAGCATACCAAACTATTTTATACTTAAAAGGTAGCGTTTTAATTCTGGAAAAACAATTATTCAATAAATGGAGAAAATGATAGATTAAAGCCTTAGGATTGAAGAGGTTTTTTTGTTTGTTTGTTTTTTAAGATTTTATTTAGAGAGAAACAGTGAGAGAGCGTGAGGGGAGAAGGTCAGAGGGAGAAGCAGACTCCCTGTGGAGCTGGGAGCCCAATCCAGGACTCGATCCTCGGACTCCGGGATCACAATCTGAGCCGAAGGCAGTTGGTTAACCAACTGAGCCACCCAGGGATCCCATGGATTGAAGAGTTAATGTAGGAAAATTAAGCTATATCATATCAGAGGAAAATATGTGACTCTTAAAATCTTAAGTTGAGAAAAGAAAAATGAATTGGGTAAAAGTATGAAGGAAAAAGATTGTAGATGAAACTTTTAAAAAAGCAAAAAAAAAATGCTCTTAAACAGCATAAAGTAAAAAGGCTAATGACAAACGGGAAAATATTTGCAACATATATGATAGGCAAAAATAGAGATTTATAAATATCTGTACCAATAAAAGTATCTCCATTGAAAATTGACCAATGGATATGTACAAGCAACTTACACAAGAAGAAATACAATATGAATCAAAGGAACCCAACTGAAAATGAGATTTTTCTTCTTGAATTTGCAAATATCAAAGAGAATTTTTGAGAAGACATGAGGAAATTAATTAATCTGGTAATGGGAGCACAGATTTGTATGCCCTTTTTTAAGGAGAAGTTTAGTGATGGGTATCAAAAGCCTTAAGTATGTGTTTTCTTTAACCTAATCGTTCTGCTTTACATACTCTTAGACCATGACATATGCTGTTCATGTCATGTGGAAGACACTTATTCTTTTCAGATGCCCAAAATTTGAACCTCCTATCTCTATTGTAGTATCGCCCATCAAATGAGTCTTGTAGGGTATTTGTTGTAGTTGTCTGACTACCTCCTCCTACTTCTCTAGAATGTAAATTCTATAAAGATAGAGGTTTTGTTCCCTGTTGTAGTCTCAGCATCTAGTCTGCGTGGCACCTATAAAAAGAGGCTGGGTGCCATGTACTCATTTTTCTAGCCTCCTTTGCAGCTAGGTTGTGGGCAAGTGGCTTGGACTCGGTTAGATCAATCTGCTAGATTTGGACTTGGAGTAAAGGTGTAAAAACAAGGACCTGAAGAGGATTCTTAACGAGCAGTAGAATGTATAGGAAGATCGAGGTCCCTGACATAAAAGGCAGAGCTACAAACTGCAGCATGTTGCTTCCCCATGACGGATTAGCTCCCCTGTCCTATTCTCTGGCTCAATTTCAGACCTTGCTCTTCCTCATGGAGATCAGAGGCTGGTTCTCCAGCTTCCCTTGAGGATATGAGAATATGAAGTGAGAGACTTCATATTCACTTCTGAAAATTTTAGATTCTTAATTTTAAAATTTGAAACATGTACAAAAAGGACATGTAAAATAAGTATCATTTAAGTTAAACATGTTTAACTTCCAGATTAAGAAATCGACTAGAACAAGTACCTTAGAAGTTTTGTCTTTCACTTACTACAATGCTCCTCCTATCCCACAGGGTACCAGTATCTTATTTCTAGTTAATCACTCTTTATAGTTTTGCCACACACATGTCTATCTCTAAACAGTATATTACTTGGTTTTGGAATCCTAGCATA